ACCCTTTAGTTTAGTTTTAACTCTACATTTCAACTTAAATTAGTTTTCAACTTTAGTTTAATGTTTTTTCTTTTAGAAATCTCAAAAATTAGTTGCAGTTCTCTAAGGAAATAATTTAGCTTCCCTTTTGTTGGTTTTTGTAATGGTAAGATTTGCTGCCTTCAGTGATATTTCTTTGTGATTGGATTATTTCATTTTCTTTATTACTTTCCTAATTTCTTTTAATTTAATCAAGTGATGTTGATATTTAATTTCATGTTCTTTTTAATTTCTATTTTAATTTATATTTTTTTGCATTTAGATTTCTTTTTTAGAGCTCTATTTCAACTCTACTTGCATATTTAAAATTCATTTATATTTTTAGTAGTTTGACAATAATTTACTTTTTTTACAATTTTAAATTTTTTTGATTACATTAACTTGGAGTAGTCCTTGGAATCATATCCAAGGACCTAGTTTGTGTAGATTGTTCATCCCTCGTTTCTACCAATTGTCTGATCATTAAGGTGCAAATTATGATGTTTTTTCATCAATTCACAATTGAGTTCCACAGTTCGAAAGAAAAGAGTATTGTTGGAGAAATTTTTCTTGTTTTAAACAAAGTAAGTGGTATACCGTATCACTTGTCACATGCCAAAGAGATTTTTCAAGATAACAATATTAATAAAAAAAATAAAATTTTGGTAATTAAAATTGAATTTTTGAAGTATATTCAAATATTAAGATAGTAAGCATTAATCAAAGTAACAAAAGAAAGGAAATGAAGAATTTTGCCTATTGTTATTTTTTAATTTTAATATTTATTTAATTAAAATTAATAAGTATTTGATATTTAATTATTAGTCAAAAAAATTATTTTAGAACTTTCAAAAAATCTTAATACACTTATAAGAGATTTAATTAAAATATTTTTATTTATATAAGAATTTAATTTGTATTGAAGAAAAAAAATTTGATAAACCAATTTAAAAGAATATTTTCCAAAAAAAAAAAAAATAGTGGTGGTGCTGAGGCCTTAAATGACCTTCAACGTTGCCGTCGTGAACCAGCAGGAAGAAAATGCAAAATATTTCTCAGCTGTGGCCAAAGCCCTAAACCCTAAACTTGGCAGTGAGGGTGAAAATGTTGCGCAGAAACATACGATTGAGGAGAGAATACTTGTACAGGAAGAGTTTGGAAGGCAAAGAGCGCTTGCTCTATGAGAAAAAGCGAAAAATCAAAGAAGCCCTTGAAGGCAAATGCTATTCTCTACGCAGCAAACTTTATATTTCTGGTTTCTTTAATTTAAATTCAATTGGGTCTTTTGGGTTCTCTTTCAGAAGGGAAACCAATTCCTACGGAACTCAGGAACGAGGAGGCCGCCCTTCGTCAAGAAATCGACCTCGAAGATGATAACACTGCCGGTTTGTTATTTCTGGTTTTCTTCTTCGGTTATAATGAAATTGGAATATAATATGAATTCTTCTATTTTTTTGCTTTTTTTTAAGGCAAAATTTCAGTTTCATGAGGTTTTTCGGTTTTCCATAGCTTTGCTTTTGATTTGGTGAAGCACCTTTTTTGACATGGCAGCAGACCACAATGGCTTGTTGGGAAATTATTTCTTTTTTTTTTATTTTTATTTTTTAAAGAACGCTAGACCCATTCATTTTTGACATTTTTTTACATGCTAGACTTCTTTAGTTATAACCAGAAATCAGCACATGATACTTATATTGCTGAATTTAGTTCCCAGGACTCATATTGATGATGAATATGCGAATGCTACTGGACAAGATCCTAAAATTTTGCTTACAACATCTCGGGATCCAAGTGCTCCTCTAATACAGTTTGCTAAGGTTTGTCTTATACGGAGTATTTGAGCATATGACTTTTGACAATTTTTGTTTTGGGGCATTATGTGTGTATTTTTTATTATTAATTCTGAATAATGTAGCACTTTTCCTGCAGGAACTCAAGTTTGTCTTCCCGAATGCAGAAAGAATGAACCGTGGTAATCAGGTTGGCCTACTGTTTCTGTATGCTTTGTTGATCATTACTAGTTCAATTATGTAATGCATGTGCAGAATTGATAACATCTTCATTTTAGTTCCCTTTCTATAGATTTTATGCAATCTAGATTACTAATTCTCTGTATTAGCGTGTATTCATTTTCAACATATTACTACTTATATTTAGACTTTCAACCAGGTTTTAACATTATTTATTAGATAAATGACTATATGTTATCATACAATTAGATAACTTGACAGTTGACACCAAGATGCTGAAACGTCCATTAAAATTTAATCCTCGTTTTGTTACAACCATAGCATTCCTCTATTTCATGCTACTTTAGCATAAGTCACAAAAATTGTCTAGGCTGATGAATGTTTCCTCTATCTAGAGCAGTATTTTTGCTTCCTTTTTCACTTAAGCTTGTCAAACTTTACATTGTTTTTATTAAAATATGTTAAGCTTGTGCCACCAAAATGATTTGCAGTTTTGGACAAACTACCATCGTAGAGGATTTTTCTGACAATTTTTGCAGTTTGATGTCTTTCTAGAGTTAAGCCAGTTGGTTTTTTCATTATGCTTACAGATTAAAATAGTGGCAAACTTTTAATTTGAACTGATAGCAAAGTGACTGAAAATTATGCGGAGAAAATAAAAAGGAAGAAGAAGAAGAAGAAGAAAGACTGAAATTTATGGATTGAATTAATCCATTTTATCTGCGTTTTGAACCTTAATTATTTAGCTTTTTGGTTCTTTTCAATAAAAAATATTGTAAGATAATGTTTCTCTCCCCTTTTCCTATTTGCAGGTTATATCTGAAATTATTGAAAGTTGTCGTGCACATGATTTTACAGATGTTATTTTGGTTCATGAACATCGTGGTGTACCAGATGGTTTAATTATTAGTCATCTACCTTTTGGCCCCACAGCATACTTTGGATTGCTAAATGTGGTATGTATTTGATGAGTCCTGTCCTGTGTTATCATTATTTTAGCCTATTGTTGGAGCTTGAAAATGTTGATAACTTGAAACATTTTCCTCTAGGTTACAAGACACGACATCAAGGACAAGAAAAACATTGGAACAATGCCTGAGGCCTATCCACATTTGATTCTAAACAATTTCACAACCAAGGTACTCTTATTGTGTTTTTAGCAGAGTACCATGCAAACAAATCCAGCTTGAATATTGCACATTTCATTTACTGATATTCAAATTTTCCCAAAAAAAAAAAATATATGTCTGATAGCTAGGTGAAAGGACGGCAAACATTCTGAAGCATCTATTTCCAGTGCCAAAGCGTGATACAAAACGCATTATCACTTTTGCTAATCAGTCTGACTACATTTCATTCAGGTTGGTTTACCACTGCTTATTTTGAAGGTTTTTTCAGTGAAGTAGTGGTTTTGATATGGTTGAATAAGTTCCTCTGTGATTTTCATAATAGACCTGGAGAGTAAATTATTTACTTGTAAATAATGGATATTATTGTCCTTTGTGTCAATTCTTCTTTAAAAACTTGTTAACTGGCATAATTGTGTTAAATAAGGAGTTGCTTCCTTTTCTTTTTGATAAGAGAAGCTACTTTTTCAAGCAGTGAAATGTTAACCTTTCATAGCTCTCAAACCTACAGGCATCATATCTATGAGAAACATGGAGGTCCTAAATCAGTGGAGCTGAAGGAGATTGGTCCTAGATTTGAGTTGCGTCTTTATCAGGTAACTACCACTCTCAATTTCCTTCATTTTTAAATATTGGCTTGACTTGAATGTTAGATTGTTAATACCCTTGTTAAGAAATCAAGTGTGCCCTTATTTGGTTGCAATTGATGCATTAGTTTGCGCTGACCTTTCTCTTTAATTGCAGATAAAATTAGGAACCATGGACCAGAGTGAAGCTCAAATTGAATGGGTCATTCGACCTTACATGAACACAACAAAGAAGAGGAAGTTTATTGGAAATTGATGCCATAATTATTATGTTTCTCAGGCTTTGTATCTTGCTTTTCATTACATTCCTTCAGTTGATCTTAATCCATTTAGGTCTTGATTTTCGAGAGAACAAGTTTTGTTCGGAGTACTACATTTAATCATGTATATCCTGTCAAATTGAAGTTATCATTGGCCAATTTTACTGCCAACGTGTTACAATGGGGTTGTATGGAACACCATCTCCCCTACCAGGGTAAATTATTTTGAGCCCTTACATTTTGGACCGTAAAATATAGGCTTTTAAATAAGACGAGAGCTTTCACTGTAAGAGATTTGTTCTTTAGTTAAAGATTAATGTTTTATGGTTTGGCACCAACGAGTTGTTGGTTTGAGGAGAAAGTTGAGGTTCCGGAAGAGCTTTCTTTTTTATAAGGCCTGATTATAAAGCCTCACATAGAGCGATTGCGGGTTAGTTGGGTTTAATATGGTTATCAAATAATGAAAGATTAGTATAAAAAAACAAAATATTTTATAATTTAGCTTATAAATTAACTTTTTGAATTATTTAATGAGTAAAAGTGTGTTATTTGTTTAGAATGTTGAAATTGTAAAATTTTTATCATTAAATTTAAATTATGATAAAGACGTCTTTTTTTTAATACTTTCATGCTACAAAATACCTTACTCAATATTTTATCTTTGATTTCTGTTTGTAGTTTACAAGTGTTACGATTAAGTCATTTCAACACATCGGGAATGAACAGTGACATAACATTTGTAGTTTTTTTTTTTCTTTTTTGTTCATTTTCGAATTCTAGAGATTTTTTTTTGAACATATACTGCAACGGCAAATTTTGAACTCTGTCAGATAAAGAAATGCATCGTTACTATGCCACTAAACCTTAAGTGCCAGTGTTAGAGATTTTATTCAACATTTTATAAATTAATTAATATTAAAAATAGAAAGTCTAAAAATCTTGGTTTTGATGACGTAACGGTGTAGAAATAGGAGGATAAAAATGTAATTAAATACTCTCTGACGGTCTGACCTTATTATTAACGAAGCACCACCGGTAGCGGCTGCCGTCAATTCGCCATTACACTGTTTATCAAAGAGATTGGAGAGCGAGCCGGAGACAGAACCAGAAGATGGAAGGAGAAGATGTTGACATGGCGGCGGCCGAGAACACTGAAGCTGTTCGGACAATCAAACCTCTTTTCATTTCTTTTCTCTCTTTTCTTGTTCGATTATTAATGTTTGAGTTTAATCTGTTCTTTTTATTTGGAAAGCTGTCTAAATTTGAGAGGAATTCGATGGTGAATTTTTAGGATCTGGATGACATGAAAAGGAGGTTGAAGGAGATGGAGGAAGAGTCCGCCGCCCTTAGAGAGATGCAGGCCAAGGTTGCTAAGGAGATGGGCTCTGTACAAGGTTTTGTCTTTGTTGTTTTACTCTTTTTATTTAAAACATTGGGTTTTAAGCTTCATCTAGGTTTGAATTGCATGCTCTTTTCTTCCTTCTTGATGTGTTGTTTTTAGGGTTTCTGTTCGATTAATATGGGTAAACAGAAAATTTGATTAAAAAAAGCAATCTTTGGTACCTGAATCAGTATCTATCTTTGACCCTTTTCTGTGTAACATCTATCTGCATCTGAATAAATAAGTGCATGTATTGGGGAGGGCTAGGAATACCTTTGCATCACATATTGTAGTCCCCCTTTTATTTTTTATGCTGTTGCTTGGTTGGTTTTGCATGTTTGTGGTTTTAGAAAATAGGGTTTAAGTTTATGGAGCATGGTTTATTAGTTATAGATACTAAAAAAAATGTGGAACAGGAAGTGGGTTTCGTTTGGGTTTTCATAATTGTTAATTATCATTGTGGATATATATCTTTTTGAACTTCGGCATTCTTCTTACTGCTTTGATGGTTTTTGCAATGTGACTAGATCCTGCTGCTTCAAGTGCATCACAGGCAAATAGAGAGGAGATAGATTCTCGATCAGTCTTTGTGGGCAATGTGAGGCCTCTTGCTTTTTCTTATTTTGCTTGTTTTGCCATAACCATATGGAATATCATTAATTTGTTGGAATTTTCTTTCTGTTACAAGCTAGTACCTTAACGTCTAGGTCATTCTCATAATAAAAACAACTCTGTAAGCTTGAATTTGAGTAGGGGCAAGCATCTTTGATGGGATACTAGTAGATGCAAACTTATGCTGTGACAAGGTCCAGAAGCTGGTAAAGTATGATGGAAAGACATTGTCAACTTGCGGCTTTTGAAAACATTATAGTATTTCCAGAAAATTCAAATTGAAAATAATAAAGCTGTAAATGGTGGGGTTGAAAATCAAGCTGAGAAGTAAGGTTCTTTATCTGGGGATAGTTCAAAGAAAGCCAACTAATAGTCTAGTTTGACCAGTGCACAATCCTTGGATGCTCTGCACTATTTGCCACCAGAATCAAGCTTTGCTGTCACAAGATGAGAGACTGTCTTTTACACAGTATTGACACTCTGAATTCACTGCATTTATGGAAGTTAAGTCGGAGGAAGATTCGTTTAATGAGAATCCTGATGAAGTTTATTATGATTTTTCTCCTAGAAGTCTGCATTTTCATGGCATGTTTGTCTTGACATTAACTTGGGTCTTTTTTAGCTCCTCATTTGATTAGAATGGATTTTCATCTTTGTTGTGGTTATCTAGATGGTTTATAAGTCAGTTAAAGTAGTATGGTAATTTTGCTGCCTTATATGAGACATTTTTCATTAGAGTGAGTTGTGGTCTAGGACCTTATCATTAGCCAACTTAATATGCATTTTTTGTTTGGATTTCTGATATTAAGTATCTTTGATAATAGTTTCATTTGTTAGATGTCTATTGTCCTTTTTTCTTCGATTACTTTTTCTTTTTGTCTTTGGAGTCAGAATTCTGAAGCTCACTACCTTTAATGTCAGCAAGTGAGCATTTTCTGCATTGTGTTTCTCTATGGTGCTATAGCTTTTACCATGTGTAGGATTTCTTAGTTCAGAATACTTCTTAACTTTACTTTTTATTACGATGGCAGGTCAAGCTTGATTATCAAGTTTTCTGATTTAATAGTTCTG